ACACACACACACACACACCTCCTCTCCTTGCTCGGTCCTCTCTCCGGCCCCAGGATTAGGGCAGAGGATTGTGCACAGCTGCTCTCCAACATCCCTGATAAAAATCAGGCAATTTCACAGTCAGTGGCATTCTTTCATCCCCTAATCCACACCCCGCATACAGTAAAGATGAACCTCGCTGCGATGAGAACAAGCTGTTCTGAGCTGAACCCCCCACACCACCCGGTCAATGCGGACACCTTCGATTGGATATAGAGAAATCGAGCAACCAAAATGTGGGGTGTCACTGAAAGAAAGAAAGAAGTATCCTGTCCGATGCGGCATATTGACCTTCCCTTTTTTAGCCACTAATTAGATTTGTATGTGTCCGACTATCAGCCATTAGCCTTGTTAGCATGACTCACAATAACTTAGGTCTATTAAAGAAGTAAAATAAGAAAGAATTGTGTTTCTGTGAATTTCTGTTTTTGCTCTTCAAAATTTCAAATAAGAGAAACTTTAAATACATTTAAACCACTTTCAGAAGAGTTGATAACTGAATTCCTAATAGTGATCATTTACGAATATGTTTAATGCATTTCCTTAATCATTGCAAGCCATTATTCTTTTGTAGTCCCCCCCCGACTTCTCAACTCATTCACTTTACCCATTTTGTCTGACCCCAGTCTCCATTTGTGGAGCGATTCTTTACCGAAGTTCAAACAGGGGACAAGAAGGTACTTCAGACCCAAAAAAAAAAAAGAGGAGAAGGAGGGGAGGAAAAAAAAGAATGAATCAAAAGGCGAGGAAATGGAATTCACTGTACAAACGTCGGGGGAATTTCAATGTCCGCTGAGGCACAGTGGAGCTCTGTTCAGCCTTCGCAGGCTATCGGGTGAAAAGAGCAGCAGCCACAGCGGGGAACATCTATTCTGACAAGTCCTTACACACACACTGAAAACCCAGAGCAAGGTCTATTTGTTTAAGAGGCAACAGAGCCAGCGGAAGGATGCTAAAGCTTTAACCTGATAACAGCACCATTTTATAATTTTTTGGCATGATTTAATGGTAAATACATTTTTCCTGTTCGCCGTTTGGGTATTTGCAGTTCAGGAAAGTTTTTAACATCAACAATGATTAAAAAATATATAAAACCCAACTTTTTAAAGACCATATAACTCAAGTTTAATCAGGGATAAATGTGATTCGATCAGAGTGCAGATGTGAATGAGTCTTCTTGAAAGAGAGAAACGAGCGTCAGTTCACATGCTGTAAAATATCAAAGCGGGACAGAACCACCATTAATATTTGTTAAATTACTTGAGAGCCCAGAGTTGCCATTGTCTCCCTTCCTTTAATTCTGATTTACGCTGAGAGTTTGAAAGTCTCTCTTTCCTATAATTACAACAACGCCTCCTTTTTTTACTTTGGAATGGTTGATGGATATACAGTAGATAATGTTAATCATGTGATCTCTTTGACATATCTCTTCTTTATCTCTGTGAGGTGAAATTCTGGGTTTTCTTCAACTCCTCCACAGAGGTCAAAGGTCAGTGATGGATTCAGAATTCCCCCCTTGTGACTAGATGAGAACTGGTCTTACTCAAAGGCACCTCATGAAAGCATGTGTCAGTAGCAGAAATAATCAGATTACATTAATATTGTGTTACTGATTTTAAAA